TTAAAGAGGAAGGAGAGATCTGCAATATTTCTACGCTCATATAAAGGTAATATGTGATTTTTTTTACATCGAAGAGTATAGCTGGGTATAAACTTTTTTGATTTAAATTGAAGAAAACGCAAAAATCTTTTTTGTATGCGCTCTATCCTATCCACATATTCATTATATTTTGGATTCCAAATTTCAGAACCATATTCCAAATGGCTGCGTACAAAAGCGCAATATAGAATTTTGAAGGTTTTTATGCTTTTAAAATCTGCCGATAACCTTAATATGAAACCCAGCGCTTTGTTAGCCTTTGTAACGATGTTATCAACGTGATTGTCAAACAGCAATTTAGAGTCAAAAGTAACACCGAGATCTTTGATAGTGCTGGTTCTATTTATAGAAATATGGTTTAATTTATAATTATAAATTATAGGATTAGGTTTACGAGTAAATGAGCAGATAAAACATTTGGAAACATTCAGATCGAGTTTATTGTTAGAACAGTATGCTTCTAAATTGAAGAGATCCTTTTGAAGGCTAGAACAACTTTCCAAACTTGTAATAGGACATAAGATTTTCATATCGTCAGCGTAAAGAATAATCTTGGAATTTTTAAAACACGTGTCGATATCATTGATAAAAATTAAGAAGAGCAAGGGCCCCAATAGGGATCCTTGTGGTACGCCAGACGATATATGGATTGCAGACGAACGATATCCACCAAGGACGACAGATTGACTTCGATTTCTGATGTATGACGTAAACCATCGGAATAAGTCCCCCCTGATACCCATTGCAAGGAGTTTACGTAAAAGAATTAAATGATCGATTCTGTCGAATGCTTTGCAGTAGTCTGTATAGACTACATCTACTTGTGCTGGTTTAGACATAAAGCTAGTTAGATAGTCGGAACAAATAACAAGGTTTGACACGGTAGATCTGTTTTTTAAGAAACCATGTTGATTTTCACTAAATGAGTGGCGAAGGGAAGAGTACACCTGGTTGTAAATTATTTTTTCAAATACTTTAGCGAATAAACAGAGCTTGGAAATGGGACGATAGTTTTGTACCTCATCCTTAGGTCCTTTTTTGTAAATTGGAGTAATAAACGCACTTTTCCAAATATTTGGAAAAATGCCTTCCTTTAAGGAACGGCGGTACAGAATACTCAGAGGCAAAGTAAGAGAGTCCGCACACCGTATGATTAAGATAGCCGGGATACCATCTGGTCCAGCAGACTTGTACAGGTCTATAGCCTTTAAAAGTCTGGATACCTCTGCTTCTTGCACCTCGATGGAACTGATATCAATAGAAGATTGATCAATTTGCGAGTCAATAATATTAAAATTAATTGTGTCGGAATCGTTAAGAAAATTAGATTTAAAAAACTGATTGAAAAAATCACAAATTACTTCACCTTTGCCTGACGAATACTGTCTGAATTTCATAATAGAAGGATATGAACTTGGAGATTTTTTACTCTTAACAAAGTTCCAGAAGGCTTTCGGTGATTTGCTTATATTATTTTCTATATCACGAATGTAAGCTTCGTACATACTTTTTTCAAGAACCTTCCCACGTTCTCGTAATAAAACAAAAGAATCAAGGTCGGAAGTATTTCCATATTTTTTATACTTTGAGTGATACTTAAATTTTTCTTTTAAGATTTTAATCAAGGGTGTTTTATACCAGGGAGGAAATCTGGAAGATGATTTTACAGTTTTGCAAGGGACATGTTTGTTAATTAGCATTTGTAACTTATCATACAGTAAGGATACAGCCTCCTCTAAAGAACCCATTCTGAGGCAACTGGACCAGTCCGTATTATCAAGTTGTTGACATATTTTAGTGTAATCTGCAAAATTATACAGGAATTTTGTTCTGGTTTGCGGTGAAAGCGTATTTTGGTGGATGAAGTCAACAGATATACATAGTGCTATGTGATGAGGATCTTCCGAAACTAAAGGGTCTATACATTTATGAACATTTATAAAATTGTTGCAGAAAATTAGATCCAGAATTCTGTTGTTACAGTTTAGTTGACTGTTATATTGAGATAAGGAACATAAATTAAGAGTATCAAAAAAATCCGATTGAATGGGACCTTGAATATTAAAAGGGCATTGAGATTGCCCATCGTCAGCTGGCTGCCATATTATATTCGGCAAATTAAAATCGCCTAAAAGTAAAAAACCATCTGCCAAGTTATTTAACACAATATCATTTAATTTAGTGGAAAAACATTGTAATTGCTGTATTAAGGAATTACCTAAGTTTTGACAGCATATATAAACAAGACAAATATTTAATTTGTAACACAAATTAGGCGATGTACGTTTTAGGGTCAGAGTAATCCATATGTCCTCAGCTGATGAACGCCATTCACTGCGTTCAAAAACTATAAGCTCTCGTCGAACAGCTATGAGGACACCACCCCCCATGCTTTGACCTGTATCAGAATAATTCCTATCACGCCTCCAAACTAGATATCGGTCGTCAAATAATTCTGTGTCATTGAAGTCCTCATTAAGCCAAGTTTCCGTTAAGCATATTAAGTCGTAATTATTCATTACGATATTCCTATATATAGTTGCTACTTTAGTCCGTAAGCCCCGGACGTTTTGGTAGTATATATTATATTTTTTTATGTGAGTGTTTTCTTAACAGGATAAGCACTAAAATAACGCGGTAGGTAATAGTAGCAACTACAAATAACTTACGTTGAGGTATATTAGAAAATAATCTACTATTCATTAGGAGAATGCATAAATATTTCGCGATATGAGCATACAAATAATACACATAAGTATAAGCAACGACCCGCGAGCAATGAAGTAAAAGTTTTAGTGGAGTAATAATAGTTAATCTCTTACACTCTGAAACTGATGCTAAGATATGACATATATGAAATTTATAGTAAATGTATATTGTGTACCCTAAACGGCAGAGCAAATGATTACCTGTTACAGTTACCACGGTGCAAGAGTTACTGCAGGTTAATATAAGTATTATTAACTTAGTGAATAATATACAAAGCACACAAAAATAATTCATATATGCGTATACATAATAATAAACAATTATTCGTAATCTATAAAACAAATAACATAGCACAAATATAACATGCGAAATGAAATAAAATGCGGAATGCAAAAATCTAGGATATGCGAAAGAAAAATTAAAAAAGGGTATTATGGAAACTAAGCAAGTGAGATACAATATGCAAAACGTTACGTTAAGTACAACAGCATAATGAGCATAATAGAAATAAAAATAACAAACACAGGTAGCAAGAACATGTCCTTTCGTTACGCCAATAATAGCGAGGTGCGAGTACATCATTAATGAATAGACGATACCAACGCTTCTCAAACTTTGCGTTTGCACAGCAAGTAAACTTAACAGTAACTTGTGAATCCTTAAACTATTTTTCTTAAATCCGACTCCGTTTTTATTATAAGAACAGGTGATGTTGTGCTTTTCCGTACTAGGATTTTGCAGTTCTTTACCCAAACGTACGAAAAATCCCGCTCCTTGGCCAAAGACTTTGTTTTGTTTAATAACATTTTGTTTTCAAGCGTTAAATGGTCGTTGATAAAGATTCTGTTACTACCATTAAGACCTATATCCAACGGCGTTAGGGATTTACATTTTCTCGCTGCTGCAACAAAGTTGTCTCTGAGATATCGATTGTGCATAGACACAATTATGTTTTTGTTATTTTTATTATTACGAGAAGGAACCCTAGCAATGTAATTAATGTTGTTATCACTAATATTGATATCGATTTTGGTTGCTATTTTTGATATAATAGTAAAGAGATTTTCCGTGTTAGTTATAGGAACTCCTTTGATTTCAATGTTGTTCAACCGTGATCGCTGCTCCCCATCATTAAAAACAGCTTCCAATTTTTGCAAACGCTGTTCTAGACGGGACACATCTTCCTTGGTCTTCTGAAGGGTTTGAATTTCACGATCCACCTCGGCTATCCTAGCTATAAGTTTGTCAACTGAAGCGTGAACGTAGTCTAGCGAATCTTTCACAACCGACAACTCACATTTAATCGTTTTAAGATCAGCCAAATCAGCTTGAATATTTTTTACCGAATCCAGTAACTTAGGCATTGATGACATTTGTTCAGACAGTCCACGTAATTCACCACGAATACCATCGAGATCACTAGAAGCGCAGGAAGTGGAACGGCCAGGAGCTGGACTACCGGAGCTAGCATTCTTACAAGCGTTACATTTCCACGTTGCTTTCCTATCACCAAGTTTTCGAAAACCAATCTCGGTTATTCCAGCACACGGAAAGTCGTATTGTTTCAAACACAGGGAACACTGAACACCATCTCTAGCTTCAATCTTACAACGGTGGCAAGTGAACATTTTATTAAAAGGAAAGGTTTGAGAACTGTAGACAATTGCAGCTTGCAACAGCGCGAGACAATATTGAACGTAACGTGCGTACTGTTTACGATCTGACAACGTACTGATTAGATAAATAGAGCGATGTAATGCATACCGTATTGGCTGTTGTAGAACTATAATCCTAAAACATGAGTATTTCTGTACTAAATGCTATTATAATTTATAAATGCTATTACTACAGAGATTCTCTCAAGTGAGAGATTATAAAATAGACGTTTATCTACTCACTGCACTCGCAATATATTAAGTACATAATATTTTGTACAACCGACTTCGATATAAATTATCAAAGATAACTCAAAAACTACTAGTCAGATCTTAATCAAATTTATATGAAACTACATGAGAAGTACCAGCTTTCAAAAAAAAAAAAGAATCATCGAAATCGGTTCACCAGTAAAAAGTTATGAGCTAACACACATAAAAAACATACAGTCGAATTGAATACCACCTCGTTTTTGAAGTCAGTTTAAAATAGACGACGAATTTATATGAGGCCGTAGTTTAGTAATTTCTGATAAAAGGCTGTAGATAAAAGGTTGTTATATCTAAAATAGTTCATCATTCTTTTATTTATTGCAGGGACAGTGACGATTGGAGTGGCGAAACCATTGCCTTGCAGTACTGTTGTGGGTGGTGAAAAGGCAAACGGTCACAGCATGCACAGCAGTCAGGTCAGTTTTATTTATCGTGAGATTTTTAACATTACATGCCAATTCTTAAATGACATTATTTTTTTTAAAACATAGGCCATGAAAATATTATATCTCTTATAAAATATTTATATTTAGCTAGGATGACTTTGAAAATAAAGGTTTATTTGAGAAAGTCAAAAGATTTTAAGTGATTTTTTATTTTTATAACTCAACTTCTTATTTCAAAATGTTGGAATTTTTAACTATATAATTGAAGTGTAATATTGTATGAAAAGTACCTTTAACTGATTTAATAACGTAGAATCCGCGAAAAAAAAAGATAGTTTATAGTGTCAGAAAATACTACGTATCGTGTAGTGATAATTTATAAATTAAAACTTACTATAGATTACAAACAGTGTATGAATTATTATCATAAAGTTAAAACTTTACAATAATTTAAAACAGTAGTACGGAAGATAAAAAAACCCTTCAATAAAAAAAAAACAATGTTCACGTTGTTGTCGTTAATCCATAAGAGAATGTTTATTGTTAGATGTTTCGATATTGTACACTGAGGGGAAAAGTCCAAAAGTAAGTCAATTTATTTATTAAAGCTTTCTCTTCATAAATGCTTAGAGCAGTATAAATCTGTTAAAAATATTGAGCATGCGTTTTTATTAACATTTTTAATTAATTTTGTACAATAAAGGGACTTTGTATTACCGCTCTAAGAATTAAATTAGTACATCTCTTGACTTATTTTGTTTTGGAAGTAGCATCTATATTAATTATCCCTTTAGTGTACAATATTTTGTTTTGCATGCATTCACATTTGTCATTATAGATCATTTTAATTTTAAAAAAAATATTAGAAATTAATAATTTTATAATTGTATTAAAATCAGTTATTTACTAACACTGGTTTTTCAGATTATATTTTTAGATAAATTAGATCTCTTTCGATATATCAAAGTTATAAAACACATTTATGGTATTTAAATAAGTCAACTAATATAGTGGCCTTAATTTAAATTTATTTTAATGATAACTATTTTATTTTAAAGTCTGCAAAATAACGTTGAGTCATACTTTGTTCTTATAAGCGCTATCTGGTGCTACAGTTTACATTATTACTTTGTTAAAATTTCAAAAGATGTGACAAATGGTTTTGTAACTTTACTTCGTAGATAAATTTAATAATTTCAACAATTTCAATCACCATATCAAGTTTTTTTTAGATTAGTGGTAAATTTACATTCTCTGTCATAATATCTGTCTTATGAAAACCTTTCATTTTTACAGAAAGTGGAGTACTTTACAAAAATTCTCCGCTTAATTATGTCACTACATCGAGACATCATGGAGCTACAGTTACAATGTAACCACGAAGTTGTACACATGCCACCTCCTGTACAGCCGCCATTTAGGATATCACCTAAAATAAAAGCTGAAATCGCATTGAAATGACAAACAGACAAACTTAAATATACTGTGAGTATTGAAGTCCCAAGAAATGGTAATGATGTTGAAGGAAATTGTTTAAAAGATACCGAATCGCGAATTTAATATTTAAAGGATTATGAAAGATACAATGAAATTAAAAGAAAGAAGATCGATAAGTAAATCATACTAGGTGAGATCTGGTGATGGTGCTGGAACTTGATGAATATTACGGACATGTTACTTTTTTAGTAAACGTGGCATAAAACTTAGCTATGTAATGCAGAACTGTATCAAACGATAAACTTATTTGAAATTATAAAAATATTAATGTACTTGTTGGAACGATTGGAACGAAGTTCTTTATCGGATGGTATGGATGGGAGCTAGGCGACAAAAAGAGTAAGATTATTTCGTTACTACCCCTAGTGTCATAGTGTAGATGGTCGTTGCGGCGAAATAAGGAAGTGAGATGGAATAATATCCATCTCCCTCGCACTTTTTCTTATCTTGCCATTTAAGAAATATTATTTTCTTTCAAATGACGCGTCATTTTAATAAACGCTGTGTTTTAACAGTGGTAGAGCCACGCGGCGGCTTTTGCTGTCGCACGGATGGGCCGGCTCGAACCGGGGTGGTACCACGACCTCACAGAATACCAACGTGAAGTAGAGGTTTACCTCTGCGTTTCGCTTGGTGAGTGCAGGTGGCCGGAGGCCCTTTTTACTGGAAATGAGGCATTCCATCTTAGTCCTCACGGGTGACAACGCATCTGCATTTTGATTCGCAAACGAGGATAGATGTAGATGTCTATGGGCCGCAGCAACCACTTACCATCAGGTGGACTGTGTGCTCGTTTGTCACCATTATCTTATAAAAAAAAAAAAAAAAAAAAAAAAAAAAAAAAAAAAAAAAAAAAAAACGCTAGTAATACATTTATTTGTATTTGCTAATCAATAATATAATACCTACGTTTATCAATAATAATATACTACGCTAGGAACTTCGTTCCAACTGAGTGTTCCACGACACTCGCGCATTTTTTTTGAAGCTTTGTTCCGGTGCCTATAAAATCTAGTAGAAAGCTTTGAGTTATACTCGCGTAGATAATTTAATATTTAATCTGCAAGTATCTGCGTAACTAAAAATAATAGTATTTAAAACTCGTCTGCGAATGTATCACACATGAAATTAATGTTATTAACACACTTATATTAGCTTCGCGTGTATCTATCTATCTATGAAACGAAATCTTTTAATGTAATTTTCATCAATTTTAGACGGCCGATTGACTTCAAAATTTGCATCACCACGATAAAATAAAGTAATGATCAGAATCATCTGCCTCAATGGCTGTTCTTTTAAACTTTGTTTTTTAAACTCTTATATTATATTCAGTTAAATACTAAGGTTTTATGTAACCTTTTATATACAGAGTGTGTAGTTTATTTGAGTTTGCTTTTCTGTTATTTAGTTAAATCAAAGTGAAATATACTTTTCGTCGGATGATGACTCCGATTTAATTTTAATTTACTTTATCGTGGGATTTTTTTTTATAGGATAGGGTGACAAACGAGCACACAGTCCACCTGATGGTAAGTAGTTACTGTGACCCATAGACATCTACATCTATCCTCAATAAAGACTCAAGATGCAGATGCGTTGTCACCCGTGAGGACTAAGATGGAATACCTCTTTTCCAGTAAAAAGGGTCTCCGGTTCTCTACACTCACCATACGAAACACAGCAGCGTTAAGCTGCGATTTTACGCTGGTTTTCTGTGAGAGCGTGGTCCTTCCCGGTCGAGTCGGCCCATTCGTGCTACAACTATACTACTAATATAGCTGCAGCATGGCTCTACCACTAATACATCACGCAGATAATTAGATTTGTCTTATAATAAACTTATAATTCAAATTTTATTTTGATCTGTCAAGTAATAAATAAAACTAAATATAATAATAAATAAATATTTATTGTTGTTAGCCTGTTTACAGTCTCATATAAAGTTAAAAAAAATATTTTAATAAAGGAATTTGCCATTATTTTTACGATTGGCAACTGGGGTTTTTTTTAAATTATTTCCAGTTGTTCAAGTCAAATTTCGAACGCCATCAAATTATTTTAAACTCCTGAGACATACAGATTTCCTTGCTTTTTTTAGAGCACAGGGTAAAAATTGCGAATAACAATGTCGTGCCGTTGGGGTTGAATCTTGTGCTTACTACGAGTAGCATAATTTGAGATATAAGACGAGCAAGCGGTTCTGCTTAATACACTCTCATATATATAATAAATAAATATTGTATCAATGTTAAAATTAATGATGTACTGAATTTTAAAGGCAAATTAGTCTAAGATATAGTTTTTTAAATATGTTAATCACATGCTAAAATTATAACATTGGACGATATCAATTTACATCATAGAGCCGAGGTTATTGCGAATTGATTGTTAGTAAATGTTTGGTCAATTTAAAATGTGATAGAAGAAAGTACGATTGTTGTTGGTAAATATGTACCTTAAGGGAATTGCGAGAAAAATATTTTTACTTTTTTATAATGAGCGTTTTTATTGACTTTAATTTGAGCTTAGATACACCGTCCATTTGTGACTTAGGATAATATTTATTTTGGCAGTTTTTTAATTGGTAACTTACATTTTGTTAAGATGTTTTTGATTGTTTATATACAGGTATTTGTGAACATATCATAGTTATTAAGATTAATTAGAATTATTAAGATGAATGAGAAAAAGAAGGTTTTAGAAATATTTAGTGAAATATATTCATGTCTTCGGTCACAGTAGAAAAATTTACGCACTAAAAATTATTATAGCTGTTATGTCCATATTTGTTAAAGGAAAGTATAGATAGATATGATTAAATTTTTTAAAATAAAAAGTCCAAATAGATAAAAACGATAAAGTGATTAATAAAGCTACAATATATCAATCCATGGCGAAGACCTGTCCATCTATCATACAGATGCAGGATTAGATTTAAAATGTCAGTTTTCTTATAAGCGCTTATATTATACCTACTTATAGACTATACGATATGTACTGATATTTGTTTTTATCAACCGTCGACGAAAAAGAAGGATGTTATATGTTTAACGTGTGTATCTATGTATCTGTCTGTCTGTCTATAGCAATGGGAGCTATCATGAACGGATGAACCTATTTAATTTTAGTTCTTTTTTTTTGAAAGGTGAATTTATCGGGAATGTTCTTAGAAGAAAATCTTTTCAGCTGTTTGAAGATTATCAGCTCTTTTTGTTTCGGGGGTACTTGCATTTTTTGATGTAATATTATTTTAGACTGGGAGATATACGAATGTGAAACTTTTAGTTTACTGGAATTTATTTTAAATAAGTATTTTTATATGGTCAATGAGATTGTAAGTAGCCACCGCAATTCGATAATTTACCTATAAACGACCTACTGCTGGGCACAGGCCACGTGGGTAAATACTTCCGAGACAACGAAAGCCGCCGACCGCGATTGCCACGTCGCAATGCTGGAACACGTAGCGGTCTTTGAGCATGAAGACCAACTTCGTGCAACTTACTTCGGATGGTTTAGTCGTTTACCTG